AGGATGTCGACGAAGATGATATCGGAGACGGTTAGGGTTTAACGAGGTCGAGAAGATGATTTATGATATCGGAAACAATGTTTGAAACGAGAGTATTAGTTGTGACGAAGATGATTTCGTGATTTCGTGATTTCGTAATCGGTTAGGGTTTAACGAAAGTTGTGACGGAGAAGAATGTGTCATACAAACTTTTTTTTTTTGTTCACCGGAGATATGGGACTGTTGATTTTCCAGTGTAACTGTTGATGACACAAATTAGTTAGTGACGTGGATTGTCAAAATTATTATGTGGATTTAATAATTAAAATTTGTATCAATAGTAACAAAATTAAACAAGGGTGTTTATTGTAATTTACTAGGAGTCTAAAAACATTCTAGTAATTTTTAGAAAATATATACTATTCTAGTCATATACAAGCTTTTGTGTATCATTCTAGTAATTTTCTCTATATTTAATCTATTTAGATTGTATTTAGGAGTATATCTAGCATTTGAAAATGTGGAAATGCATTTGTATGTTTTTAAGTTTTGGAGTAACTATATTGGATATTGGAGTTTAAGCATATTTGGACAAAGTTTGGGTGAAATATGGTATATATCGACCGATTTGGTCCTGTGGATCAGTCAATCTCATGTTAGGATGTATGTTCCCGGAGAAAACAAAAAGAGGTCGAGTGTTGGAAGGGATTGACCAATCAGTACTTGAGATCAGTCGATCCCGTGTTGAGTAATACGCTAAACAGCGATGGAATAAGTGATCAAGAAATGTAAACCGATTGATCGATATGGTCCTGTCGATCAATCAATCTCTTTCTAAAGATGCATTGACCTGGTGTCAAAAAAAGAATATTTTATCCACTTTTTTGGATAAAATATTCTTAGACTTTTTCTTTTATCAAATATGTATTTTAGGACAACAAAAACCTTAACTACTTAAACTTACTTTTCTCTTAATTTATTTTGATTATTTTTGTTTTAGATTGAATCTTGTGCAGTGTCTTGATTTTATTTTGGTATGTGTCTTAATCTAAATTATCTACTCTTCTATTAACATAAATTTTCAAAGATTGATGTCAAGTTTTTAGCTATTTTCATGTATTTTAGTGAGTAGAGTTTTTAGAATTTTTGAGATTGGTAAATTAGAATGAAAGTTGGATGATTTTAGATTCTTATGGATTAAATAAAAAAATAAGCTTACTAAACCTTGTACAATTAATTTAGAACTTAAGTAATTTTATTATCAGACTGTGTTCACTGAAATGTTTGAACCAACATAATATTGTCCTTTACATGTTTAACCAATGAATATTGATGCTAGAAAATTTTGGTGGTTAGTAGATTTGTGATCTATGCATGTCTGATTGTGTTATGCCAACGAAAAATGTTGTCTGATGCATGATTAACATAGCGATTACTATCTTAGAAGTGAATTAGTCTATTTGAATGTAAATAGATCTAAGAAATTGTTAGTTGATCATTATGTCTGGCATCCTATGTCTGAAAGTCATCTCTAGTCAATTACCTCACATCACGAATAGTGGCCCATCATTTTCAAAGTAAATATGTAATATCACATTTTTTGTATATGATGACATATCATAAAAGGTTTTAAGAGAATTAATTTGGTCATTTATGTCATGCAAGTGCAATAATCATTTCACCCACACATCTGAAAAAAAACTCAAAAGCTAAACATGTTTGAACTAGAATAATGAAAGGACTGATGATCTATCAAAAGTGGTATACGATGTTGTACGATGGAAGTCAAAGCATAAAAAAGGATCATGTGATGACTCCAAGATCAATAAAAATGTATTTCGAACCTTCTAAAAATTAACGCTTCCTACCGTTAAACATGATGAGGAGAGATGCCATTTAAAATATGGTATTATAGATGGATGGTTTGTTGCCTCAGTTCTTGCCTGACATGCAGTTAGGGACATGTTTTGGTGTGCATTAATGAAGATGTTGCTCTTTATGAATGGAAATGATTATAACATTTTGATATGGTATATGACATTGTAAGTGGAAAGCCTTAAGAGATTTTATCTGATTATCTATATCATCAAAGTGCACTTATGCTTTTGGTTGCACATACAAAAGAATTCTATTAAACTTATTTGAGCTGAAGTAGTGGGAGAATTAGTGCACTTATCGAAAACTGGTTTACTAATTTATACTTAATTATAACACATTTTTTTTTGAAAGGATTAAAAATATATCGAGTTATAATTAAGTATAAATTAATATTTTTAGAATCGATAACCCGATTAATATCCGAAACCGAAACTATTTTGGGTGTAACTGGATCTTGGATATGTAGCTAAACCCAGACTGAATTCGACTAAATCCGAACCGAATCCGACCCAGAATTTTGCAATATCCGAATGGGACTGAAATTTATGAATCCGAAATCCGAATGAACCCGAACCAAAATTCGATTAGGACCCTGATTGCCCAGGTCTAACGGGAAAGATCAAATCCTGATTACAGGATTAATAAATAAATATTTTAAACATCCTAGAGCTAACAAATTAACACTACCGACCATTAGGTAAAATGGACACATAAACCTATGGAAAGAGTGTTGTGGATACATGGAGAAGATATATAAATTACAAAATCAATATTTTGCCAATACCTTACACGTTGTACACAGCCAACACCTTACACAAAGTACTCTTTGTTCCAAAAGTGAGGAAAGAAAAAAGATTCCAAGATCAAAGATTGGGTTAACAATTGGTTATTGCTAACTTCCCCTAAGTCATGTGAATCTGATGTGAACCTTCCATCAACAATTTTTTTATTATTTTCCTTTTCTAAAAAAAGTTCTGAATTACAACATAAAACTGCATGTCAATTATGTTGCCTCTAAAAGTTTACTTCTACTTGTTACTCTAAATGATCCTCTTCGTAGTTCACATTGTATCACAAGATTTAGTGGTTTTAGTCTTTAAGATTCTTCCAATTGCAATATGATCTAAAACGATCAAAAAGGGTTGAACTAAGTCCAACCTACAATAGCGGTATGTACATTGAGCCAGAGCTAAAAGAGGCAAAAGAAAGGCTAACAGAAACAGCCACAACACCTCTGCAGAATCCACTTAAAGCTGCAAGAAACCAAGAAATTAAAATCTGTAATAACCAAATTAGTTAATGTCAACATGAGAAGTGGAGGGACAAAGACAAGCTTTACACATGGTGGAGACAAGAACATGGTCTCTCTCTAGACACGATGAGGAGACTGCTGTTATGGTCCAACGAGAAAACAGAAGAAAGATTTTCTTCAAGAACACAACTCTTGTTGCTTGAGCCTTCCGGAGAAAACGGGTGAGATAGTGAAGAAACAGAAGAGGAGAAGTCGTATTTTTCATAGTCAACTCCGTAGCTCACAGGAAGAGAAGACGAAGAAGAAGACTTAGACGATGAACCAAGTCTCCCCTCTTCCTTCATTTTTCCATTGACCCTTTATCTTTTTCTTGTTTCTTTCTATCCCTCTGTTTTTAATCTCTCCCCTGGGGAAAATTGAAACTTAGGTGTTAAACCTAACGGTCATCAACTAACTGTTTACAACTCCATCTAACTTATTCATACATGCTTATATCTACAAAGCACTGCACCACCAACTTTTATAATCTCTATCAATTTAGTCTTATTAGCACGGAGGAAAATGAAGAATATGTTTTTTTTTTATTAGGGTTTGTAGTAATTAAACTTCTCAACTAAAGAAGAGTCATAAAATAGATTCTCAACTAAAAATCCTTCGAAATTAATCCTCAACTTTAATTTCATTAATATATGTTATTCCCCGACTAAAATACTATAACATGACGAAGAGTAACATATGTTAATGGTTTATTAGTTGAGAATTTATAATATTAAAAATGTATTTTATGAGTTTTCTTGCGATTCAAAAATAGTCGAAGGTTTTTATCACTAAAATACATTCAATATCTTAGAATCTTTATTATCAATTATTTATTGTTTAAATTGATTTATAAACCTTTAAAACTAATTTATAAATCATAAATATTTTAATACTTTTACGAATGATTAATAATGTTTCATAAAGCAAAAAATAATAAATCAAGGATATTAGTTTATTAATCAATAGAACAAGCAGTACAACATAGACAATGGCAATACAAGAAACAGTTTCTTGTATCACCGCTGTCAAATATCAAATAATTTAATATTTCTAAGTTATACTAAGTTTTAAGTAATGCTAAAAATTATTAATCTAGGATTTATAAATTAGTTTTATATTAAAGTCATGTATAAAATTTTATAAATTAATTTTAAAGGGTTATAAATCAATTTTAAACAATGCATAAATGATAATAAATATTTTAAAACATTGAAAGAATTTTAGTGATAAAAATCTTTGACTATTTTGAATCTCAAAAAAGAACTCCTCAACTAAGTTTCAATATTATAGATCTTCAATTTGTAAATTGTTAACATATGTCACCTTCTGTCACGGTATTTAAACGGAGGATGACTTATGTTAACATAATTAAAGTTGAGGATTTCTTTCGTATGAATTTTAGTTGAGCGTTTATTTTACGATTTATTTTTACTTGAGGAGTTTAACTACTAACCTTTTTATTATCATAGTGGGTTTTGAAATGATATTTTGTTTGTCTAAAGATTAAAAGGCTGTTTTGTTTGTCATAACATCCCATGGGTGAAGATACTATAGTAATTTTCTAGTACTAAGGAAATTTACCTAAAATATTACTAGCTCGATACTTTTAATTATGAGAAAATGACTAAAATAACACTAATTTTTTTTTGTCGCAAATATAACACTTAAGAATAAAAATGACCAAAATAACACTTAATGTTTTATCAAAAGAAATAAATATACACTTGTATCCCAATAATAAATTAATTCAGATATTAGGGTTTAGAGTTAAGGGATGAGATTTAGGGTTTAGAGTTAAGAAGTGGGGTTTTGGGGATAAAATTTCAATTTTTGAAAAATAAAAGAATTTCAAATTTTCAAAAGATAAATTGCTATTTTGGTTATTTTATTTTTTTAGGGCTAGTTTTGTGACATAAACTTAATAATGTGCTATTTTTGAGATTTGCCCTTTAATTATTTTGGAAAACTTAGAGAAAAGTAAGCACCGTGAGAAATACGGATTTTAAGCCATTCACCAATTCGCGACTAGCTACAGCTCTACATCACAGGTTCACCACTAAACAAGACCAGACTCAACCAAGACCGCAATGTAATTAAAAAAAAAAAAACTAAAACCGTTTCCCAAAGGCTACACATTGAAAAACTATTGACAAAGTCTTATCCTGGCTACCGAGTGAAATCAAGTCACAAGAGTTATTCCCTCGACGTGAGGCCAACTTTTTATTTTAACTTGACATATATATAATTTTTGGAACTGATTAAGAATTTTGTAATAATTTTTTTGAAACGTATATTTTTGTGTTATGCCATAATTGACTTTCATGAGGGATGTTTATCATACATATGAAACTGGATCCCATGCATACTAAGAACTTTGTAACAGCTTTATATAAACATTAGAACGACCATATGTGCACTTGGAGTGGCGCTCTCTGTACTTTTCTAGCCATATCCTACAATACTAGTATTGCAAAAAGATTTAAAGATTTTCCAACTTATTCAAAGGTAATGAGTCTACAGATTAACTTGTGTGACCATTACTAACTTAAGGGATTAGTTACTGAAAAATATATCGTTAGGATGTCAGAGTAATTAAAATGAACATTTTACCAACTTAATAATATTCTTGCGGTTGTTGAAGTTTGGTAAAATCGTAGGTTTGAAAAAGGAAAAAAGAAACACAAATGGCAATGTGTTAATTAACAAAGTAAACATTATGGGCAAACCACTTATTCCAATTGAAGAATTGAGTGAGAGTCTATAGATCTATATGTTAACGATCACTAACTTATTGAATTGATTACTAAAAAAAATGAAATCTTAAAAAAAATGACATAATAAAAAAATGAACATCTTATTACGGTTGTTGAGGTTTGAATAAGAAAAATAACAGAAATGATAATGTTTTAGTTAAAACAAAGTAAACATTTTGGCCAAACCACATATTCTAAGAAGAACTAGGGTCAAAATAAAATAAAGAGTAAATATTCGAAAGTTTTCAAATTTGGGCCTTTTCTTTATATTTTCCGTGTTTGTCCCTTTTCACAACGGTTGGATCACGGATTTTAACAACATAACGGCTCGAAACTTAACGCCGTCAGCTCCATTAGCGTCTAACAAGTCAAACGACAGAGCGCCTGCCGTAACGTTCTTGTTTTTTAAAAAGTAATTTCTTTAAATTTAACCTTCTTTTCAATCCTCCTTCCTCTATATTCTTCTCTCTCTCTCTCTTCTCCATCGCCACACACATTTTCGAAAAACGATTCGCGAGTCGTCTCCGAGATTGCTTCGAAGAGATCAGGAACAAAAAAATCTCCGCCGTTTCTCTGTTTCATCGGTATATCTTCTCACGTTTCCTCTGGTGATTCCAGAGACGCATTTTAAGCTTTTAATCTCTCATTTTCGTTTCCACTATTCAGCTTGTTTATATGTATGTTAACGCATGATTCGTTGCTAGAAACTTCGATTAATTGATAATGTGGATGCGTTTTTTCGTTTGTTTATGTTTCTAGGGCTTGGTTCGTTGACTCCTTTTGAGTTTTAGGTAGAATCGATCGGTTTATCAGATTAGGGCGTGATTTGTTGACTTATGATAATGTTGATCGATTCGTTAGGTCAATGGAGCTTGGAGTTCTCTTGATTTCGATTTTAAAACTTATTTGTGTGGCGCTAATATTTGTTTTCTATTGATGCAGTGATACATATATTGTTGTTGTTGATTAAGAGCTATAAGAAGAAGAAGAAGAAGAAGAAGAAGGCGGGATCTATGGATGCTAACAACTCGAAGAGAGGAGGTTCCGTGAAATCTCCATGTCAAACTCCACGTTCTACTGATAAGTCTAATCGAGATCTCCGATCAGCTGACGGGAACTCGAATTCGTTTAACAAGAGTGAGAAGGAGAAGGGTGTGAATATACAGGTTATTGTTCGTTGCAGGTACATTGTTTTCAAACTTTTCTTTTTAAAAGGCAGGAGGATAAGATAATAACACTTTGAGCGTATCTTAATGGCTTCAACTTCTCATTATGGTGTGGGTTTTGTGATGATTTCAGACCATTTAACTCGGAGGAGACGAGGTTACAGACGCCTGCGGTGCTCACCTGCAATGACCGGAAAAAGGAAGTGGCGGTAGCTCAGAATATTGCTGGGAAGCAGATTGATAAAACCTTCTTGTTTGACAAGGTTGTTTAATCTTTTAAGGCTTTTTATATTGTTTGCATGATGAGAAGTTTTTGTTTAGCATCTTGCTTACGGTTTCTTGGATTTGAATCTGTTAGGTTTTTGGCCCAACGTCCCAACAAAAGGACTTGTATCATCAAGCAGTTTCTCCCATTGTGTTTGAGGTGCTTGATGGGTATAACTGCACCATCTTTGCATACGGGCAAACAGGGACTGGGAAGACGTACACAATGGAAGGAGGAGCAAGGAAAAAGGTAAGCTAACAACCATTCCAAGAACATGATTTTTAATGTATCTTCACTGATGTTAATTGAATCCTCTTTTTGATTTTTCTTGCTAGAACGGTGAAATCCCGAGTGATGCAGGTGTTATCCCCAGAGCAGTTAAACAGATATTTGATATTCTGGAAGCACAAAGCGCTGCTGAATACAGTTTGAAGGTTTCGTTTCTTGAGCTCTACAATGAAGAACTTACGGATCTTTTAGCCCCGGAAGAAACAAAATTTGCAGATGATAAATCAAAGAAGCCACTGGCCCTCATGGAAGATGGAAAAGGTGGTGTTTTTGTCCGAGGTTTGGAAGAAGAAATAGTGTCTACTGCTGATGAGATTTACAAAGTCTTGGAGAAAGGGTCAGCCAAGAGACGCACTGCAGAGACTCTTCTCAACAAACAAAGTAGTAGATCTCACTCAATATTTTCGGTTACAATACACATTAAGGAATGTACTCCAGAGGGGGAAGAGATTGTCAAAAGTGGAAAGCTAAATCTAGTTGATCTTGCTGGTTCAGAAAACATTTCACGATCTGGTGCTCGAGAGGTATATAACCATACATAACTTCTTCTCTTACGTATACTGATGCTGTGAATTAGACATGTACAGAAATGGATTAAAGGTTGCAAAGGATGATTTTACTAAATAATACGAGTCTCTACATTGCAGGGTAGAGCCAGGGAAGCTGGAGAGATCAACAAAAGTTTGCTCACACTCGGACGTGTCATAAATGCGTTGGTTGAACACTCTGGTCATATTCCATATAGGTAAGGTTTTTGCCTTCATAGATCTCTATCTATAGCATTTTAGACATGCTCGATAGGTCTCTAATTATTTAATTACATGCATCAAATT